AGGCAAACGGCGGCCCTCATCCTTCGACCTCCGCGCTGGGGTCGCCGCCCAGTCGAGACAGCTTTCCGATAGGGCGGATCCTTCGACGTCGGCCGATTCCAGGCTGACGGCGGCCCTCATCTGCGAGGCGGGGATTTAGCCATATCCACCGCCTGGGAACCGACGTCCTGGTGCCCCGGCGGGCGGCGGATATGGATATGTTTCGGCCACCGGGGGGCCGAATATGTCCATGTCCACCGCCTGCCGAGGCTCCCAACACTGACCCTCCAGGCGGTGGTCATGTATAAATTCCCGCCTCGGATGATCCTTCAACCCCCGCGCAAGGGTCGCCGCCGCGTCGAGACGGCATTCCGATAGTGCGGATGCTTCGACGTCGGCCGATTCCAGGCAAACGGTGGCCCTCATCTGACTACCTACCAGACCACCCAAACCCAACCAGAAGATCCGAATTTGGCCCGAATCTCGGGTTGGGGAGGGGGTACTGGCTTCATCTGTTTCTTCATCAATCCCCGACCCCCCCAACCCACCGGAAAATGGAGGGCAAATCGAGGCCTTCGGGTTGGGTTGGGGTGGTTTGGTGGGCGGCCCTCATCCTTCAATACAGAAACGAAAAAGTACTGATACCGCTACCGCTATTCCCCAGACCTCTCCGGGGGTGCGTTCTGACCAGAATTTCGAAGCGAATTCAGCGGTGGCGACGAGGGCCTCCCAGGAGACCCCAAAAGGGGAAAACGAGGGAAGGGTAGCAGTGTGGGTACCTTTCCCTCCTCTGATTAAACCCCCGCGCAGGGGTCGCCGCCGCGTCGAGACTGCATTCCGATCGCAGGGAATCGAACTCTGTCACCGACGCTTCTTCCGGCCCTGCATTGGAATTTGCACTGGAGAGCGGATCCTGGTGTATTCGGCACGTACATTTGTCGCTGTTTCCGGGGGACATCGGGGAAACAAGTACACACCACACCACCCCATCGTCGTCCTCGACCCTCAAGAAGTCCTGGGATTGAGAAACAGCCCGCCACTGGTAATGTATATGACATGTTCCAGTTTCCGAGATCGTGCGGATCACTCGACGTCGGCCGATGCCAAGCCAGCGGCGCGCGCTCCTCCCTCGGCCCCCCCCGAGCTGGGGTCGCCGGCGGGCCTGCCGCGCGCGCCCTCATCCGAGCAAGGGCCGGGCAGAAGAATGTTCTGAGGAGAAGGCAATCTCCTCAGAACTATTTGATGTCGATGCTGCTGCTGACGACGACGATGAGGAGGAGGAGGATGATGAGGAGGAGGAGGAGGATGATGGTGTCCCCCCACAGGGGGCGTGTGGGCGAACACTTCTAAATACTGGCAAAAATGCTCCGACAATGCTCGAAACTAGTCAAAAGATCGTCCCCATACTATTTTCTACTATTTTTGAATTTCCCTCCTGTAGAGGGACAGGCCCGACTTAATCTTAGACCATGGTGAGCATTTTTGTTGATGGCGTCCACCTGGGGCGGAAAGGGGGGGGTCTGGCGCCAGACCTCTGCTTATTACGTCTGGTTGCAAGAGTGCTGTCTCTTGGGGGAGCGACCCCACCCGCTCGAAACAGGCGACATAAAAACAACCAAGATCTACTCCATGGGGGCGGGGGAAGGGAGGGCTTGGAGCCAGCGCCGATCAGCAAAACAATACATAAAAAACGATCACGTGTCAGAACAAGACGGTTTCAACCAAAAACGTTTTAGATACATTCTCCGTGCAAACCGCGAACAGCTCTCAGAGCATTATCTGGTGGAAGCCTGTGGGCACTCCGAGACGCCTCGCCACTCCCAGACCCTCAACGTCGCAATTGTGTCACAACGTCGACCATCACAGAGGTCTGGACTCCTTCCAAGGGATTTCAGCCAGAGGCGGTTTTTGACGGTCACCACGCCCAGAAATAGCCCCGAAAGGCAGGAAATACGGCCGGACCTGAGACAGAAAAACATCCTTCAAGAACATGAGACCTCCGCCAGCCAAAACACACAGACAATCCAAGGGTACCCTCCCCAGGATGCACGAGAATAATCCAACAGACACGAAGAGCATCTGGACACCCTCCCCAAACCGACCTCGATCTTCTACCTCGGTCCGACCGTAGCGAAAAGCCTCCCGTCGTGTTTTTTGTTCCACAGCGCGAGGAGGTCTGGGCACTGTTTCGGTCCCATAGGAATTGAGAACCACATCCCAGAAAGATGTTCCAGCAGCCCGAAGAGTATCGAAACAATGCCTGCCCGACGCGCTGGCGCAAGGCCGCACGGGTGAATATCGCCTCCCAGGAACCGACACGTGAAAACCGTCCAGTTTCGATACTTTCGTGGTGCTCGAAATTCTTTCTGAAGTAGAGGGCGCCCCTTGCTCTTGCAGGGCCGACTTACTGGGGGGCAACGACGGGGGGGGGTAGCGGCATAGGGGGGGATGCATCGACCTGGAATCGGCGATACATCGCCGATAGAGCGGCGACGGGCCCCCGTCAGTGAGTCCGCACCTTCCTGGGCAAGTTGGGGCTATCGGGCCCCTATCAGCGATCAATGGGCGATGAGAGGTCGATGCATCCCCCC